ATTTGGGGTAAAATTGGGAGTTCATAACCCACTTCAATCTAATGTATGAAATATGATATGTCAAGAGCTTTGTAACGTTGTGAACAACCAATAAAAAAATAAAAAATTAAAAAAAAATTTTAATTTTGATGAAGTCTAGTTTCTCCCTTTTCTTCTTATGGAAATGTTTTGGTGTCAAGTCTGAGAATTCTTTGTACTTCAGATCCTTGTTATGTTATGGTCTCAATCTTAAATAACCCTCAAAGGCCCATATGCTAAAGACTTGGTCATCATCCTGTGTCACTGCTGAAAGGCAGTGTAACCTTTAGGAGGTAGAACCCAGTGGAAGGAAGTTAGGTCATTGGGGTATGCCTTTAAAGGGGATATTGAGAACCCCAGAACCTTTTCTTTTGCTTCCTGGCCACCATGAGAAGAAGAGATTTCCTCTGCTCCATGCTCTTACAGTCATGATACACTGAGTAACCATAGACCCAAAGGAACAAAATAAAATTAAACCTGTAACAAGTAACCATCAATTGAAATTTCTGAAACCCGGAGGCACATAAACTTTTGCACCATACAAGCTTTTTATCTCATGAATTTATCACAGTGACAGAAAGGTGACTAACATAGTCCTGAAGATTGTTTTCCTTTGATTTTTCTGAAAATTTTAGTTTTAGGTTGAAGCATGCTTTTCCCGCCACTGGCATTAGGCTATCCAAATGCTCCAGTACCGCATGTTGAAAAGCTGTCTTTCCTCCATCAAACTGCTGTTATGAATCTGCCAGAAGTCAGTGGAGTCTATTTCTGGATGTCTGTTCTTTTGATCAATAGCACACTGTCTTGATTACTGCAGTTATGTAGTAGGTTTTGTATCAAGAAGTGATTCCTCCCAACTTATTTTTTGTGAAGATTGTTTTAGCTATCCTTAGGTTTGTGCCTTATGAATTTTAAAATATGTTTGCTTATATCTACACAAAGCTTGTTGTAATTTTCACAGGAACTGTATTAAACCTGTAGCTCAGGTTATTTAGGAAAAGTTTGTCTTTATGATGAGTCTTCCAATCCATGAATATTATGATTTTCCCCTTAGATCTTTGATTTTGTTTCATCCTATATGCAATTCCTAGTATAGAAGCCCTATGTGTATGTATATTTCAGTATTGCATTTCTAATTTTGCATTCTATGTGAAATGTAATTGGCTTCTATATTGATCTTGTATCTTATTTCCCTCCCTCCCTTTCCCTTTTCTTTTTGGAGTAGGGACTGAACCCCAGGGGCACTTTACCACTAAGCTATATCCCCAAGTCCTTTTTATTTTTTTTATAGCAAGACAGAGTCTCGCTAAGTGCTGAGGTTGGCCTCAAACTTGCAATTCTCCAGCCTCAGTCTCCTGTGTCCCTGGGATTACAGGCATATGCCAACATGCTGGCTATTGTAGTCTTTCCTGAACCTGACATTGGCATTTTATAAACTCCTGGAAATTAAAACATGCAAACACAATTGAGAACCAATGGCTCTTGAGAAATAACAATGATGAAGTTTAGTGTACTTAAAATTTCATGATTTGTATCTAGAATGTCTCCACAAAAGCTCATTTGTTGAAATCAAGATTCCCAAAGTGGCAAGGTTCAGAAGTGGGACTTTTAGGTAATGATTAAGGCTTTGACCTCATAACTGAAATGACTACTGGGAGGTGGGACCTAGTTGGAGAAAGTTGGTCACTGAGGACATGTTCTTGAAGGGTTTATCATTTACCTGGTCATCTTGTTTCACAGCTGCCATGAGCTGAGCAGCTTTCTTCTTCCACATCCTTCTGCCATGATGTTCTGCCTCACCTTAGGCACAGAGCAATGAAGTCAGCTGACTTTGGACAGAGACCTCTGAACCTGTGAGTCAAAATTAAACTTTTGTTCTCTAAGTTGTTCTCAGGTATTTTGGTCAGTGGCAAACAGCTGACTTACACAAGCATGCAACAATCCTTGTGTGCCTGCATTATTATTTCTTCTAAAATTTGTAAATTATAAATGACTCTTTTTCTCTAGCCTGTCTGCCTTAGGCTCCATCTTGATCCCTTTTTCCTATTCTCCAAGGACCTTGCTTACTACCACTTAATGTCAAGAATACCACAAAACTTTCTATTCCCTTTTCCCTACGAATATTCAGTATCTTTATATCTGTACCCATAAATTTCAAAGTTAAGAGTGAGAGATATCCTTCTTCCCATTATAGACAATCAATTTCCCATTACAGATCTATAATTTCCATGCCTGTACCTACAATCTAGCCATATGTTTCATACGAACATTTGAGTATATTATCTTCATGTATTTTCTATACTATTCTGTATTGAAATTTTTGCAATAATAAATATTGTATATTTTCCTACTCTGGATTATTTGCATTGCTTTATATCATTAAAGGTTGCTTTAAAATACTATTTATTTTTCTGATGGTACTGGGAATCAAACCAGAGCCTCATGCAAGTGTTCTGCCACTGAGCCATACCCCTAATGTATAATTTTAATGATCATATGGTAGACTTTCCATAATTCTCATAAAATACCGTTCCCTTTTCTAAACTTAGTGTTGGATTCACTACCCTTATATATAAATATTTCCAGATTTTGTATTGCCTTCAGATAAATTTCCCAGGAGTAGAATCACTGGATTTAAGGCATGAATATTTTTAATATTCTTAACATATTTCTAAATCAAGCACAGTAGGGTACAATGCAATAAGTTGTTGCAACCCTTTTTTCCAAAAATGAGGCAAGTTAGCAATATTATTCAATTAAATCATGCCTCATAGTCCAGCAATTTTACCTTCCAGGGAATACTGGTACAAATGCAGAGTTGTAAGCTGAGATGCTTAATGCAGTTTATAAGAAGAAAAAATAAAAATAGCCAAAATGTTAAACAGTGAGATTTAACTATGGTATATTCATTATTTGAATACTGTGCTACTAAAAAGAATGACATAGAGGATCTATATGCAGTGATAGTTTAGTAAATGAAAAAAAATCAGAATAAGAAAAGTGGCCAAAATATATAATATATTGACATTGGAAAAATTTTAGATCAAGGAGATTTGGCAGAAAATATGATAGAGCAATAATCATTTGTGAAAGCAGTACAAATCTTGCTACAGAGTTTTATACAATTTTATTAAGATATAACAGTAAAAATAAAGAACAAATCATTGAAATAAGTGGACCAACATAGCAGATGTGTTTAAACATTTAAATATGTAAACAGTCTGGCTAAAAATGAAGTGAAACATCATTGAAAAGTAAACACAACTTTGTATGTTGTGTCTGGGTGTTGTACATACACGTTGAATACAAATAAAATTTTGGTGATAAGAAAAAAAGTGAATGTTTACACACATAACTATACCTATGTAGAATTAGACATACAAATATCTTAAAAATTTAATACAAATGTGGTTTCTTCTGCATTCCTCATGTAACAACGGTGAATAAGAAACATAATTATCTCCATTGCCACTTCAGATTCAACAATGTGATATCCTGGAGGCACAGACAAAAAGACAGATGCATTGTAAAAGATGGTCATGAATGAGAAACATCTCCACATCTGAAGGTAGGTCATGTGTTCCTATTGTCCCAGGATGGCATAGTAATATCTGGACTACCCTGACAATAGGTAAACTGGGAAGATCCCTTGTGAATAGTAATAGATAACATCTTTTTGGAATACTTGTTAAATCAGATTTTAAAAAGGTACAATTTAGTCAAAGTAGATATTCCTAGAGCCATTAGAAGAACAAGCAATATAGACAATATTAATATCACTAAGGAATAAGTGCCTTTCTCTTTCAAATACTTTAAATTAGGAGAGTTTGTATCCCTAATACATTTATCAGGGGAAGATTATAAAATAAAATTACTCTTCAAATGTATGACATGACTGCTGGATGAAGAACAAGTGAACTACAAAGTGAGCATACTCCCCACCTCCACCATTATTAGACTCTAAACAAATATGTGATGTCTGAGAGTATAGTGTTTACTGATTTTCAGTTTTCTCATTTTAGTAGGAATGATAGTAGCAAACGTTTTTATAATAATGGGTCTAAAGGAGACTACTCAGTTTTTAGGCCATTATATTCAATAATACTAATTTAGTGGTATTGCAAAATCTTATGTATTAGGGAATATGTAATTTTATTACCTAATATTTATATATCTCATTTATATGTAGTTACTTTCCAGCTCCATGGTAAACACACACAGTTGTTTTCATATCAGTATAGATGCTACCACTGGGAAGACCCATACTGGAAGATATGAGCTTGTTCCCAGAGAACAAAGCATTTTTCTGAAATGATAAGATGGTGTAAATAGGTGAGAAGATTATGTGAAAATACCTAGCCCATACAAAGATCAAAGCATGACTTTGGTCTTGCTTCCACTGTACTCTACCACTGAGTGGACAAGTTACAAATAAACTATAAATGAAATTTCAATTGTCAGCCTTCAGATAGTACTTAAACATATAAAGTCTGTTCAGTAAAAGTCAAGTCAAAAGAATGAGAGTGAGCACCATGAAACTACTAGAATAAATATATATGAGATACATATATATGAGAGAGAGAGAGAGAAAGAGAATACACACACACACACACACACACACACACACATAAATAAAACTGGGGATTTAACCCAGGGGCACTTTACCACTGAGCTATAATGTCTGCTCTTTATATTTTTAATTTTAAGATAGAGTCTCACAAAAGTTACATAGGCCTTTTCTAGACTGCTGAGGCTGGCCTCCATCTGGCAATCCTCCTGCCTCAACTTCTCAAATTGCTGGGGTTACAGACATGCACCTTTGCATACAGCAGGACTTAAAATTTAAAAATAAAGTGTACTGGTTGTTTCATTTGTTTGTATCTGATTTGGGTATAAACTTGGTCTTTTCCTTCTATAAAATAGTGTTATTTTTTCTATTTTAAGACTGTTGTAAAGATAAGAAATAACCCACATAAAATATTTTTTGTTTTTTGTGGTATAAGCCAAAGTGGAATAAAATTAGTTCTTTACAAATAGCCTAATATCAGAGAACTGCTCAGAGATGGATGGGTGGGATTTACCTCTTCAACAGGGCATTTTTTTTAAAAAAATTATCCTTTAATAGCATTTTTGTAAACTGGTATATAAAATGGCTGAATAGAGGTGCCTGGCAATCACCTGATCTTCCACAAAGAATCACCAGAGCAAGAGATATACAGCTGCATTTTGAAGTAGGTGATTGTGGGAGAACACTGGAAATTAACAGAAAAAATGGATCCTCCTAAAATTCAGAAACCTGGGATAATAACATGGTAAAAGAAACAAAATATCCTGATATCTGCTGGCCCAATTTCTTTGCTAGAAGAAGGGAGGTCTCCTCTCTGCAGGGTAAGGGTGAAAGCAAATCCCAGCAAATGCTATTAGCACCAATGCTGGCAATCCTAGCTCTTGAGTGTTTCAAGACCTTCACAGACTTGCAGCCTAATGAGATAAGTAATCTGAAATCTGCACAGTAATCTTGCTTTGGAAATGACTTCACATTATCTCCTAGTGAATCTCCAGGGTGCTATAGCCAGAAGTCATCTTAAGAAAGGACCTACTGTCTAAATTTGAATTACTTTATGGGTCAGAAATCCCTGTATATTCCCATCTCTGTGAATATTCCCCAGAACATTTCACTGCATTGGCTCAGCAAACCAAACCTGGCCCACTTGAGTGACTCAAATCTGCTGACTGCCCTGAACTTTAGACAATGGCTGTTATGACACAGAGGGCACCACCCTCTGAGAGTTGCATGTGGATTCATGTCAGTGCTAGGACTTAAGGCAGTCATCCAGGAGGTTCCCACCACCAAGCCCTGCATACTAACAGGGTAGGGAAAGAACCCCAGGGGTTTCTACTATTGCTCTACCCACAGAGGCTTGTTGCAGGCCACTGGGGAGACCTGAGCCACCAGATTCTCTGGCTGTCATCCTGTCCCTAGAACACATGGGCTGAGAGGGTTAACAGAGAACTTTTGCCCAGCACTGGCTGCCTTCTCTTCTCACTCACTCCTTAATCACTTGAAGGAGCTGAGGGAAGAAAACCCCTGACTGTCAGTTACCCTGACCTGGTGTCCACAGAGCCAGTGGAGGCCTACAGGAATTTTGTCTGGCTCCAGCCATGACCTATTACTGCTTGTTCTCTACTGGGTACTACAGATGAAAGATCTGGGGAGAAAAATCCTGGCTTTTGTGCTGTCCCCAGGCATGCCAAGACTTGGGGGATGAAATCCTATTCCTGGGCAGGCACACCCAGAAAAGCAGCAAAGGAACGCCACTACTCCTGCTGCCACCACACCTACACAGTTCCCACCACCAGCAGACTCTGCACATTACTAGATCAAGCAATGCTGCCAGGATTTGGTTTGTCAGAGAGGGGGTAGTGTGATTCCTTCCACCAACTCTCCCAGGGAAACACACACTGGAGGCATCAAAATGGCTCATTCAAGACATACTACAGAGCCATCACCAAAACAGCAATTATATGGGCATAAAAGCAGTATAGAGAGCCAACCCAAGAACAAATCCAAGTGTCTATAGCCAACTGATTCTCAAAAAAGAATGCCAAAAATATACATTCAAGAAAAAACATCTTCAACAAAGGGTGCTAGGAAACAGATATTTGCAAGTATAAGATTGAAACTTAACCCTTATACCTCATCCTGTACAAAAATAAACTCACAATGGACAAAGACCTTAATATAAGACCTGAAACTATGAAACTACTAGAGGAAATTATAGAGGAAGCACTTCAAGATATTGGTATAGGCAATGGTTTTCTGTATAGTAGCTCGAAAGCACAGGAAACAAAATCAAAAGTTGACAAGTGGGATCAAAAAAGCTGCTGTACTGCAAAAGGAACAATTAACAAAAAATTACCTGCCAGCTGCTATTCAACTAATAGTGGGTTCATATCTTTTATAAACTTTTAAAAAAATTTAACTAAAAAACAAAGTGATTTAATTAAAATATGGGCAAATGATCTAGATAGTCACTTCTCAAAAGAAGAAATACAAATAGCCAACAAATTTATGAGAAGATGCTCAGCATCATTAACTGTCAGGGAAATACAAGTCAAAGCTACAATAAGATAACATTTCAACCTGGTTAGAATAATTATTACAAAATCTAAAAATAACAAATGCTGGTATGTAGAGAAAAAAGAACTCTTATACATGGTTGGTGGGAATGTAAGTTAGAAAATTCAATGTGGAAAATGGTATGGAATTTCTTTAAGCAAAAATCCAGCTATCCCATTTCTGAGTATATAGCTAAAGGAAATGCAGTCAGCATAAAACAAAACACTCATGGCTGTATACCCATGTTCACTGCAGCACTATTCACAAAAGCTAAGACAATGAATCACCATAGGTGCTCATCAACAGAAGAATGGAAAAAGAAATGTGCTGTAAATACACAATGCAGTTATTATCTGGTAAAAAAAAAAAAGAATAAAAGAATATTCTGCTATTTGGAGCAAAATAGATGAAAATAGAGGACATTAGGTGAAATAAGCCTGACACAGGAAGACAAGTATCTTATGTTCTCTCATGTATGAAACTAAAGAAAAAGTTAACCTCAAAGTGGCATAGTGATTACTGGAGTCTGGGAAAGATGTGGAGGAGAGGGGCTTGGATGGATCAATACACACTGTATGCAAATAAAACACTGAATCACATTAATATGTACAATGATTTGTATTAATAAAGCATTTGCCTAGATCATGTCTTTTATTCTCTTTCTACTGGGAGATGAATTGTCTAAAATTGTACACAAGCTAAGGTATTGCTGACAGTACATTTTGTGGAAACTACCAGGGACTATATTTTAAAAACATCAATATATTTGGGGAAGCTGCAGAATCATCCTTATGCATGGTAGTTCAAGGACTGCATTGATGAATCCAAGAGTTTTCTTCTCAGCATATCTCATCAATGAGTATTTGCTGAACATAATGAGGTATAAATGCATGGTAGTTTTTAAATGAAACATGAAAACATTTAACTATGTGAAATTATTGATAATCAACTGTTTTTGGCCCAAAATTATTTTTAATGACTAAAGTTCATAGTTGAATTAGGTACTATTTATTTTTAGTAGATGCTTGAAATTTTCTGCATAGCAATCTCCTGTCATTATTAAATGAAGCTGTACTAAATGTATCTTTCAGCCTCTCCTTGAAAGTATTGGATTTTAATCCAATCCAACAATCCATAACATTAGTCAACTACCTGAGAGTCATCCCTCAGTATACATGGGAGACTGGTTCCAGAAACCCCCTCTACTAAAATCTGCAGATGCAAATGTCCCTTATACAAAATGGTGTGACATCTGTTCTGCTGTACACAAAAAAACAGAAATCCGAGACATAGAGTGTTGATGTGTGTATAGTTTGGTCACTCTATGTAGTTAGGGTTAGTGTCTGCCATGAATCAGACAGCTGAGAGGATTCTCTGCTGGTTGCAGGGGAAATTCTAGAGGATCACTGTAATATTCGCAGGATGGGCACACCAAGTTCATGAGCATTCTGAGCCGGAGCAGCAATAACTGCCACCCCACTGCAGTCAATTTTCATGAGCATTTCTGCCTATGGGGACTGGATTACATCTGAAACTGTTCTGTGTCACCACCGAAAGAGCAGCACAATGCCCTTGTGTTTAGAAACAGGAAATGTATGACAGTATACCATAAAGAAAGTCTCTTGTCCCTGACAGTGAAAAAATTTAGTGTCACTTCCAACCACCTTTGTCATTAAGGAGGCTGTATTCAGTATATGTGTATGTTTAAAAATATTAAATTCTTTTACAGAAGTTAAATGTTTTTTCATGTCTCCTGGGAACTCACAATCTGAACTGTCATTCAATTTATATCTTGCATGCCACATGTAAGTCATCACATTCATTTTTCTTCTTTGGCAAACACTGGAAGATAAAAAAGGCAGATTATTCAATACATAAAATTCTTAATTTACAGGGATAGGCCCTCAGCAGTTAGAAAAGATCCCTATCAGTTTCACAATTTCATTGGGCAGTGTACATTAAAAAAATTATAAGGTAAATCACTTGATTTTGAGTTTTTTGATAAAATTTTACAATATTATAATGCTTATAAGTTATTTAACCTATCTTTAACTTAGTTTTCCAACATCCTCATCTCTCCAAACTATAGGCACATATCAGTGAGAAAGGAGTTAAGGAAGGCCCCTAAGCCAAAACCAAAAGACTAGATGCCAATGTACATTGTAGAAATGTTCAGAGTCCCTTTTCTTATTTAATACATTTTGACCAAAATTTGTCATTTGGTTTCCAAGATTACAGTATTCCAAAAGCATATGATCAGTAAGCAAATAGGTATGAGACAGCTACTCATGAGGAAGTAGGCAAAAAATTATATATATATATATATATATAGTCATCCCTCAGTATACATGGGGGACTGGTTCCAGGAACCCCCTCTCCCACTACCAAAATCTGTAGATGCAAATGTCCCTTATACAAAATGGTGTGACATCTGTGTATCACCTATGCATATTCTCCACTGTGCTTTCAAACACATCTAGATTATTTACACTTAATACAACATGTTATAGAAATAGTTGTTATACACTAGGGAATAATGACAAAGACTGTTCATGTTGAGTAAAGATACACTTTTTTCCTGAATATTTTCCATCTGCAGATGTTGAATCCATGAGTCTAGAATTCATGAGTCTAGAATCCATGATATAGAAGGCCAACTATATACACAAATAATTTAAAAAATCAGGGATTCCCTATTTAATTCACAATTTTACTATAAAAGTTTGATTTAAATGATACTGAAATTTCTGTTGATTAAAAATACATTTTATATGAGTCTTATAACAATTGATTGTAACATCAAAATGTTCAGTTTAGTATGTGCTCTTTATACAAAATTTTCCTCCAAAATTAATAAAATAAAAAAGCTCATATACTTAAGTTAGGCACCCTTAGTTCTCTGAAAAAATATTAAGTTGTTAAAATGTGTCTCTCCTTAATAAAATCTGAAAGTAACTGAGGCTTCAGTGAAATTAGTTGATATTTGTCTAATGACTCTTCATTTGAAAACTGGACAGCAAGTATGAGCACAAGATATTTCTGTAATTGTATTAGAAAATAAAACTTTTTTCTTTTCTCAAATTTTCTCAGCCTCTCTCTCCTACCTATTTTCCTTTAACCCCTTTGTCCTCTTTTCTGCCCCAACCCCCTTCTTTTCTCCCTCTTAACCTCTCAATCCTTTCTCTTTAAACCAACCTCCTTCTCCTCCCTTTCTCCAACTCTCTCAATCCCTTATACTTTCAACCTCACTCTCCTCTCTGATCCCTCTTTCTCTGAACTCTACCTTTTTTTCTTCAATATTGCCTCTCTTTTGTAAGTGCTACAAAGAGGAAATGTTTTCAGTGTCTTGGTATTCACTAAAAAATCTCTGACATGAATATTAGGCTAACAGTTCTGCCTTCATTGATCTAGGTAATACTTTTTGATATAGACTCTGAGGAAAATGAAAGATGAGATTTGTAATAAGGATTATCCAATTCTCACATTAATATGGTTTGTGCTATTTTTACTTTGTCTCTTATCCATCCTCATCTTTTGATCAGATGACATTAAAGGGGATTAAAATTGGGTTGTGTTAAAGTGTCAGACCTGTCTGTCTATAGTACCCGCCCCTGTTGTTTGATCTTCTGGCAGTTAATTTTGGCGCTAGCACAATCTACTGTGACCTCCTGTAGGACAAGAGAAGCTGCTGAATTTCCCTAAAAGTTTCAGAGAGTTATTTGGTTCTCTGTTTTTGGCTTTAGTTTGGCTGTGATTTTAGAATGCAGTGGAAGCATTCTAAAATTAGAGCCTTTATTAAATAGGGCCTACTACTTTAGAGGTGTTTAACTTAAACTTCCTCTAGCTGAAAGCCATTTTAACCAAGAAGGGGCATAAAGCTTTATTTCTTTCTTTGACTTTCTTTCCAAAAATCACTCTCCATCTTACATTTCAATGTGGAAAATATGTTGGTTCAATATATGTATTAGACAGCAATATATTGTGCAAAATGAGCTAAGAATCATGTAGCCAAATTTAAAGAAATAATTTTCAATCGTGTTTATTTTCAAAAGCCTTCTTGAGCATGTACTGTGAATAGATAGAGGCACCTAGATAGAGGGAGTTTCTCTCATCTTTAAAATCTAATTCCAGTCCAGAAGAACAATAAATAAGAATAATTATCATTCAACATGCTATGAGAGCTGGCAGCCTAGAAACAACCATCACTTTCTGCAGGGATGGGTGAAAGTTTTGCAGAAGTAATATCTGGGCTGAGCTTTAAAGTTCAAATATCAGTTGATTTGGTTTTTGCGTTTTCTACACCATTTCTTATGTTAAAGAAATCTGCAGTGAGCTCTTTCCCTATCAACGATTTCATATACTCTGAATATCCTGTCATTTGGGTTATTGGAATTTTTTGTTTATTCTTATGTCATAAATTGCCTGACTTAATTTCTCCTAGTCCTTTTAGTTATAATTGTCAGTGATGTAGTTCTGAAACGGGCTAAGTACAATCAATTTAAAGACATCAATTCCTTAAATAATAAAATTCTTTCAGGAAAAGTTTCCAGATTTTCCACTGATTCTCATGGAATAGAATGGGCTTTTCAAGAACAAATATGAGCAGAAAAAGCCAGCTCATCTGGTCAATGACATCACAGCTCATATTCTCCATGCAGAGGAGAAAAATGCAACTCATAAAGAGGTATGCCACCCAACCAGCAACTTTTCCCATCTTCTGTCCTGTGAACTCCCCCACCACCAACAGATCAGGAAGGCACATTTTAGCTCATGGCCTCCTTGCCAGCTGAACACACAGTAAAGCTCTTTTCTTGTAAAAACCCAGTGCCTTGGTATGGGCATCTAAGAGTGTCAAGGCAGTGATCCTGGCTCAGTAACAATTTATGGCAACCCAAATGTGAATCTGAGACCTTCAACTACCTGCCCTAGGCAATGTGGTTCCTCACTGGGGTAGAGTTCTGTGTTTTGACCTTCAGTGGCCACCAGGACTGATGATCATCTGAAAGGCTCAGCCACCTGAACCTGCTCCTGCACTGTGAACACTATCAGCTCTTAGTGCTAACTTCATTTTAACTAGCAAAAACAAACTAATCCCAGAACAAGATGTGTCCTGGTGAGTAAACCTATTAAGGGCAACTGGGCCATGAATTAATTTTCTCTCTGGTTTAGAGGCATGAATTTTTCTTCTGGTTTTTACTTTTGGGAGTAAAATAATCCCTTTGGAAGTTCTGGTTTATTCTAGTCTATGGAATCCAGGTCTAAAGGGAGAATAATAAGGTTTAACTTGTGGACTGTCGTTGTTCACTTGATTTGGTCTGGTTTGGAAATATACTCTGGTTTAATGTGTTTTATGGGTTCTTTTGTTTATTAGTTTATTAGTCTGTGCTTTAGGTATCTAAAATCTTGATGAAGGTGTCAGGGGAAATTAGCTATGCCATGTAATGGTCTTACAGGGAGCCACCTCAGAAGAATATACTCCTCTCTTAGACTGGAATGAACCCTAACAACTCATTGGGGAGGTACACTTAGCAAATCATAACTCCATACTCTGAGCTACCCTGCACCCCTTGGTGTTCGGGGGCTTTCTGAGACACATAAAGGGGAACATCTGGCCTATAAGTGACTCTCTGTGAGGGAATTCCCATACCCAGCACATTACTGACCCCCAACATTTCCTCACCACTGACTTGCTCCAGATACCTTGCAAAATTGATCCTTGAGATAGCATTGGGCAGAATTTAATTCAAACCCATCAAGGTAAACTGATTCAGCATTCCTAGGAATAGTTTTGGTGGGAGTTCCCACTGCTGCTTCCCTCTTTTTAATAGAGTTTCTCCTGCATTTTTAACTAATTAATCTCATGGTAATAACTTATGGCCTTTTCCTGCTAAATTTGCTTACGGTTATATATATCTACTTTGATGTTTTATTTGATTGACATACTTAATTAAATTTTTTCTTATAAACACTCTTAAGATAATTCTTAAAACTGTAGTTATAGATGAATATGCAAGGGCTTTTAGTTTTCTGTCCAGTTTCTTTTCTCTACCTATTTTAAATCTGTTGGTTATTCCAGGTGGCTTAATAGAAGGTTATTTCAGCCAGTTCTAATTAAATAATAAACATTTAAGAGTTAACTCCTGGACTCATGTGAGACTGAGAAAAAGAAAAACGATAATAGTTTTTTGAAACAAAAGTCACACTGACTATAGAGTCCAACACATAGCAAAACTGGGTTCTAGTATGTAGTTGGTGTAATGATCCCCACAATAAAAAGAGCCTATTAAAGACCACAATGGAATCTCTGGCCCATGTATCTTTGATTAAGAGAATGGCTCTTGATTTCCTACTGTCCTCACAAGGGTGAATCTATGATATAATAAATATAGCTGTTGCATATATAGTAACACATCTCAATATATAGAATTAAAAGTATCTAAAATTTTAAATCTGGCCAAGTCATGAAAGATACCCTAACCCTTTGAGTTGGCCTCCCTTACCATTTTTCAGATACCTTCATTTGGTTTTCTCCTAGACTAGGTTCCTTTTTATGTTCTGTCCTTCAGTTTAAGGTAACACTTATTCTGTTTTTGATTGGTCACAAAATAGTGGCCTTCCACTAGTGATTCTTATACTACCTGAGAGACTCATTCCTCCAGCCAAAACTTAGGCCTAACTATACCCTGGTTCAGCAAGGATATAGCCACAATAGAGGTTACCCCAGCCTCTCAAGATTAAAGAATGAAGAAACAAAGGGGGTACTGAAGCTGGCTGAGACATGTTCATGTCTGAACATAAAGTAATTAACAAAATTCTCAATTTGTTTTTCAGGAAAGCCTCCATACATCCCACTAATTATTCCTAGTATTTGGAACCAGCTTTTCATAGTGGACATGAGCAGAAAAAGCCAGCTCATCTGATCAATAACAACAAAAGCTCAAAATCCTCTATGTAAAACACACACCCCCACCCACTGCAAAGAAACATGCCATCCATCCAACAAGCAATTTCTCCCATCTCTCTTCCTATAAATTCCCCTGCTACAAATTGATTAAGGAAGTAGATTTAAGCTCCTTTTAAACTTTTGGCCTTCTTGCTGGTTGAAGATGCAATAAAGCCTTTTCTTTTTGCAAAAGCCTGGGGTCACAGTAGTGGTTTCTATGTGTACCAGGCAGCAAGCCCTTGCTTAATGATAGTTTCAACATTTAATGTTCTTTTGTCAGTTTAACATATACTCAACATCTGAAGGCTAATAAGTATATAATTCTTACTGACGATAAACAGCTTTTAGCACATACCCTGATGTCTGTTTCAGCTTTATTAGCAATACCACTTTCATTTTTCTATTTCCTACAGATATTTATAGAAGTATATTTTAATCAAATTATCAAATAATGACAATGTAAACAACTGCTGAGCCCAAAAGATGAGAGACTCTTGAAAAGGTAAAATAAAGAAAAGGAACAAGACGGCGGAATAGAGGCTCCCAGTTCTCACTGGCTTCTCCACACACACACAAAAGAACCAAAGCAACAGGCATATAGCTGCATTTTGAGGTAAGTAATCATGGGAAAACTATTGGGAATCACTGGAAGAAATGAAAACCTTATAAGATCCAGAGACCTGAGACAAAAGCATAGTTAAGAGAACCAAAATATCCTGGCACATGCTGCCCTGGCTCAAGGTGAGGCAGAACACTGTGGCAGATGAGTGTTGACAGAGGGAAGCAGCTCACATCATGATTAGAAAGCAGAGAGAGACTACACTCTCCAGATACAAAATATATACCCCAATGAACCACTTCCTCCAGCCACACCCCACCTGCCTCTAACTACCATCCAGTTAATCCCATCAGGGACTAATTCACTGATTTGGTTAAGATTCTCACAACCCAATCATTTCTCCTCTGAACTTTCTTGCATTGTTTCACATATGAGCTTCTGGGGGGATACCTCACATCCAAACCATAACAATAAGTTAAGGTGGATGTGGTTTTATAGATGTTTATTACCTTGCTCCACAACTTACATATATTTCTGTTTAGATCAGACAGTACACAAAATAAAATACTAAAATCCTTTTTAATAATGCTAGCTTCTCATAGCAGCATGTGTTCTCCTCCTATATGGGAAACTGGAAGTCCCACACACATTCAGAACATCAAACTCTTCCACTCTTTAGCCTTTCCCATTTCCTAGAATGTCCAAAGTGTCACTGTAACTCATTCTTGCTGATGTCACTTATAACATTGAGCCTATTTACCAACTGCTTAGTGGACACTGGCAGTTATTTTTCTCCCATCCATTCTCTTGAGGGGAAATGGGTTTTATAAGTCTTTGTATACCTTCCGGGAGCTAGATATTGTCTGACATTTCCATTTAGCTAAGTTAATCATTAAAACTAATCTCATATAATATCCATAACTTTGATGCATGATTAGGGATCAGAATGTTGATTCTGAATTCAGACTTCTTGGGTTCAAATCCCAGTTCCACCATTAGCGAGTGTTAATTAAGACTTTGGAAAAATTGTTTAACCTAATTGCACTTTCATTTCCTCATCATAAAGGGCAGGTAGTAATAATAATTTTAAAATAGTCATAGTGATATTGTGAAGATAAAGGAGCTCAAACCACTGAAAACACCTACTAAGTTTCCAATACATGTTAGCTAGTATCCTGTGAATTTTCTTAGAATAAAGCTTTTAAATAAGCTTCCCCTTTCTCTGGATCCTTAAAATATTTTTGAACAAATGAGAATAGTTACAAAAATACTTTAAAACATGGGTGAATCTCAAAATCATACTCACTGAAAGAAGCCATTCGTAAAAGGCTATACATGTTGATTTTTTAATCATATAAAATGTCTAAAAAAGACAAATTTATGAAAATAGAAGACAATAAAACACTTACCTAGGCTTCAGGTAAGAGAAGGTGAGTTTTCTCTTTCACACAATGACAACACAGAAGACTTTCATGAGGTTAAGCGTGTGGGGATTTCTCCAAGCCAGTCAGCAAACAATTCTGCAATGCACAAAGCTGCCTTAGCAAATTAGCAACACCCTGTCTCAAAATAAAAAATAATAATAAAAAGAAAGGATTAGGGATGTAGCCTAATGGTAAAAGCACTCCTGGGTTCAATGCCCAATACAAAAAAAAAGCCTCCCATGAATTCTATCAAACATTTAAAAATCTAATACCAATTCTCCTTATGGTATTATAAAAAATAGGGGAGGAAGGAATTCTTTCAAACACATCTTATGAGACCAGCATTACCCTAATACCCAAACCAGATAAGGACACACACACACACACACACACACACACACACCAAAAAAAAAAAAAACCACTAGAGGATAACACTCTGAAGAACATACATGCAAAAATCCTCAGAAAATATCAGCCAACAGAATCCAATGCATATTATTAAGATCATTCATGGAGACTTCTGGATAAGATAATAGAATACAAGTATCCTTTGCAAGATACTTCCAGTGAAAAGTTAGGACAAGCTATATTTCAAGGAGAAAACAAGGAGCTCCTGAAATCAAGAGGTGATGGGAAAGCTAAAAGCATGAAGAAGCAGAAAGGCAACTCAGAGGAAAGTATGAAGCAGTCTGCAACTTCAACCCTGGCTTCCCAGGGGAAGAGGAACCAATGCCCCAAGCCCAAGCCCAGGGTAAGCCTGGACGGTGTAGGCATCCTCAGCAATAAACAATGACTGGCATTACTAGCCTCAGGAGAAACCCATAGAGCTTGGAAGCTTTAAATCCAGTGTAGGAAGTTAGGCTGGAAACTACTCCATAATAGGTTAGCTCAGGAGAAAAATCTACTGCAGTACTTGCTGTAGGTTATCTGGAAGTGCTTCAACCAGAAGCCATCCTGAGAGTGGGCTTATTGTTTGGAACTTATCTATGCTGGATCAGAAAACAGAACAATCACAATTCAGTATCCTAAGGACACCATGCTACCCTGGTAAGATGGAGATTGGCACAAAAGACAGTCATGAAGAGGGTGAGTGGCATACCCCCTGAACCCTTTAAACAGTAAGGAGATCAGACTGCAGAGGACACTATAACCTGTGACCAGTGACTGGTTGTACTGCCCTCTATGGTGAGGAGCAAGAGCCTAGCATGTGGTTTACTGAGGAGGATGGGTCCGAGAACACTAGGACCAAGCTGGTGGATTGCTCTGTTTTCATGTTCCCATGCTTTGTTCTCTAGTGCAGTACTCACTGAACTGTTTGCTTCCCAAAGCACTTGTGGAACTACCTCAGCCTAGTATTTGTGTATTTTCCTGGTATTTACCATGACCAGGGACACACCTGGGGACCTCTGAAATAAGAAGGCACGTGACCAGTCTACATTATACAAGGATAGTTGGGACGGGTAGCAGCTCCAGGTGTGTGTAACCATAACAAGTTGTTGGGGGGGGAGCCTCTGGAGTGAATTAAGCCCTGCCCCAGAAAACATGCCATTAAACATGGCAGGGCTCAGCCCACATACAGCATGAACCTGTTTGGTGGAAACATAGGGGAATCACAATAGTCCTTATCTGTGACTCATTATCCCTCACATTTGATAGATTCCAATAATCAAGGACCCCAAAAGAGTATTCTTCAATCCAAGAACCTTGGATAGAAGGAATTTTTGGACTCAAAAAGATTAACACCAATCATCCACCTACCAACCCAATCAATAAATTGGCAAAGGAACTAAATAGACACTTCTCAAAAGAAAAAAAATGAACGGTTAATACATGAAAAAGTGCTCACCATCTCTAGCAATTAGAGATGCAAATTAAAAACTACACTTAGATTTCACCTCACTTCAGTCAGAATGACAACTATCAAGAATACAAGAAACAGTAAGTATTGATGAAGATGTGGGGAAAAGGGTACACTCATACATTGCTGGTGGAACTGCAAACTAGATAAAAGGGTAATTGTATTCCTAGTTTTTTGAGAAATCTCCATTTTTTATCTAGTTATACCACTTCTCAGTATATATCCAAAGGAATTAATATCAGCACACTACAGTGACACAACCACATCAATATTTATTGCACCTCAATTCACAAGAGTTAACAGATGAATAGATAAAGAAAATGTAGCATATATAAACAGTGGAATATTAGCCAAAAGAAGAATAACTTTATGACTTTTGCTAGTAAATGGATGCATTTGGAGAATATCATGCTAAGTGAAATAAGCCAGTCACAAAAAATTAAAGGTTGAATGTTCTCTCTGGTATGTGCTTGCTAACACATAACAAGGGGAGAGGGAAAGAACATAAATTCAGTGGATTAGACAAAGGGGAATGAAGGGAGAGGGCATGGAAATAGGAAAAACAGTGGAATGAATCTGACATAACTTCCTCATGTACATATATGAATATACCACAATAAATTTCCACATAATGTATATTCACAAGATTGGGTTCATAAATGGAATAAGATATACTCCTTATTTGTAGAAATTTGACAAAATTGACTCTACAGTCATGTATAACTAAAAAAGAACAAATGAAAAAAATTAAAGAAATACTGTCATTTGCAACCATACAGACAGAACTGGAGAGCATGTTAAATGAAAAAAGTCAGACACAGACAAACACTGAGTGATCTCACTTATATATGGAATCTAAAAAGGTTGATATCATAAAAGGTGATAGTAGATTGGTGGTTACTAGAAGCAGTGAAGAATGAGGGGGCAGGGAGGGATGGAGAACAGTTATTGAATGGGAACTAAAATGCAACTGAAAGGGGAGCAAGCTCTGGTGTACTTTGTACAGCTTGAATGACTATGGATATCAGTAATGTACTATACATTTCAAATTCAAGAAGAAAGAATTTACCATAATGACACAATAATGTTTGGGAAGTAAACATGTTAAATATAATTTTAACATTATGCAACATATAGATGTAGCAAACATTATATGGTACACCATTAACATGTACAACTTTTATGTTCACATGTATCAGTTAAAAAATAATGAAAAAAGCCATGTGTGGCTGCACACATCTGAGAGACTGAGGAAGAAGGACTGCAGTTTAAGGCCAATCTGGGCAACTTAGTAAGACCACGTTCTCAAAATTAAAAAATAAAAAGAACTGGGATACAGCTCAGTGATACGATGCCCCTTGATTCTATTTCTAGTACTGTAAAGACAAAATGAATGAAAAAAATCTAGATTAAAAAAATGCTACAAAAGATTTAATTGAGGAGTAAGGATCCCATTTGGCTTCTGTAATAGTTTTCTGTGTCCATTGTTTCATATATGTTAATTCTAAACATAACTAAATGAAAAAAGTATTATCATTCTCATTTTACCAAAGTGCATACTGAAGCTCAGAGATATCATTTGTTTTATAACAAACGGTTCCTGTCAGAGCAGAATTAGCACACAGGTTTAACCAAATAAAGACTTTAATCACCATGCCATGCTGCTGACAGTGTGTTCAGAGGATAACACATGCCAAGTATGGATTTGGACTAGGGAGATGAGACTGAAAACATGAAGAGACTGGTATGGGCCGGCTTCATTCACACATGTGAATATGTGAATAAAAATTAAATGTGTGTGGAACTAAAAATAAGACTTGCACATAATAAAGGAGGCTCTGTTCTTAGAAAGCTTGAAAATAGTACAAATTTCCTTACTTCATTAGGAATTATGTCAGGCTGTTGGTCAGAGACCTGTGTAGTAGCTTGAAGGAATCAGGAGTTTATTCTCTTCCTAAATGAAGCCTGGCAGCAGGAAACACAGGGCTACCAAGCAGCTCTACAGAGTCATAAAGGTCTGAGGCCTCTTTCTTTTCCACTATCACTTATGCACATGAGTTCATAAAATTGCTGCTAGGCTAAGGCTATTATACTCATTCCGAGAGAGAGGAGAGGAAGAGAAGGGAGAAAGGGGATCAAATTGCTTTCATAGAAGCATTCAATGTACTCAATAATTTTTATTTACAATTCTGGCTATCCCATCTGCCAAGTCTGGGAATCTGAAGTTCTTAATTTGGGTTTACAGTCCAGGATTCTGGTGTTAAGAGAGAAAGGGATTTATATAAGTAGCCAGAAGTCTCTCCCAAATCCCTAATTATTATCCCTTTTTAAAAATTTTATTTTTGTCACCCTTTTTGAGAAATAAATACAAAAGAAGTAGTGCTAATTAAAAACAGTATCATAATTGTAAAAAGCAAGCGAAATATTTTTTACTCCACTCTGTTCTTTTCTCATGTCCTTTAGTTAACGTTTTTTAATAGTTCAAAAAGCCCCATATCACAATAACAGGAATGTCAATAATGAGAAAACAGGAAAAAGAAGGAGAAAATCATCAAGAAAATAAGCCAAGAAAATTTCCTAGAGCCAAAGGACATAAGTTGCCAGAGAGTCAATGAATGCCCAGCAATGAATCACATTTGTATTAGCCATCACTGTGAATCTCAAGAACCCTAAAGGAAAAAAAAAAAACTATACATGTTATAAAGCTAACACGATGCTTTGAAAGTTGTAGATTTTGGAGCATTTAGGACTTTTCTATAGGGATTCTCATATTTCAAAAATATGAAAAACTCTTGAAATCGGAAACACTTCTGGTCCCAAACATTTTGGACAAGGGATGCTCAACCTATGTAAAATTCCATAGGGAAATAGATCTCATGCAATGGGTCAGGAATCTGAGTGTCTTTACACTCTTCATCAGGAGTATGTGAACAAAAAGATGCTTTGCCCCATGGGTTTTTCCATGGGGCTTCTCAAGCATGATTATGACTAAACAGCTAGAATTCCTCAAGGGATGATCCAAAAGTAGCAAGGAAGAAGCCACAGTGTCCTCTATGGCTGCTGCTAAACCTTTAAAATTTTAACAGTCTTTTCAATTCTTTTAAAAACAAAACATACAGTTTAACTAAACCAATCTACATGCGTGTGTGTGTGTGTGTGTGTGTGTGTGTGTGTGTGTGTGTATATATATATATTTGGATATAAATGGTACTGATTTTTAGCCTCACATTATCACACTTATTGCCCCAGAATCAAAAATTCAAGAGATTTCTACACATGTCCCACCTTGTAAATGTGCACAGATGTATGTTAAAAAGCTTATCTTTAATATTCCTTAAGATTTCACTAATTCAGAGAAGATGTTCTGGAGAGAACATTTGCACAGCAAGGGTACCTCCACTAATTAGCTAATGTCTCCAGACCAGTGAACTCTGTATCTCAGTAGCTTACATAAATGTCTCCCCTTTAGCCTTTAATATCATCTTCTTGTCTGAGTTTCCCATGCCTAAGGTTTTCTATAGCACATGAATTCCCTTTGCAATGCTGTTTTCCTAAATAAATACCATTGTTCTTTGGAGAATTTCGCCCACTATTTAGATTGACAATGTGATACCAGAAGGTCCAATCTGTGGTCTGTAGCAAGGAGTCAGATTTTTATCGGGTTCCCGCATCCTAACAATTCTCCATTAGAAGAAAATAAATTTCTGACCAAGTCAACTCCTCCAAAGACCGGTTTATGAGAAAGTTTGTATAGAACAAGGGAAATGTCTATTGATTATTGAGTTTTTTTCCTTCCAAGACCCATAAAGGAGAGAGACCTCACTACTGTTAACTTGACTTTTACTTAGAAAAACAACTTGTTAAAAGAAATATTTGTCAAGTTAGTTCTTATAAAATAATAATGTTTATTCATCATCTTTCATCAAAGCATCTGAACTCTGATCACTAGGAAGGCCTTTATTTCTATTATTTAGCTGTTTGATGTATTTTTTACAATATACAAAATTTTGCCATAAGAATATTTCTCAGATATAAAATGTAAATGTTTGGCCATTTTAGTCCAACACTGAAGTTAATTAATCATATCAGAAAAAAGAAAAATATATATTTTTCTATCAGCTGCAGACTGATTCTTATTATTCACTCATAGCATCTTGGATTTCTTTCTTGACAATTTGTCATTTACATAAAAGTCACAAATATATGAAGACACACATAAAAATGTACTTGTCTTAGTCTCCTCCAGGATTAGCTGGGTTTCATTAATTTATAAATATTAGCATGAACAGATGAAAATGAGGTAGTGATTGCTATAAAGAATATTATAAAGCCGCTAGTCTGGGAGAACATGTTAGTATTTCTAGCTGACAGTACAATGTCTGAAAGAAGTTTGAATTTGAAAGATTTGGGAAGAAAAATGTTACCTGGCTGATCATAAAGGTGTTTGAGTTTGGACAGGTGTTAAAAGATTTCTGAGCATTTGTATCATGTTATTGAATTTAAAATATGCCTACAGCATGTGAACTAAATATGTGTTGCTTCTTTTGAACTTTATAGTACATTAAAGTATTTATTATGCCTTAGGCACTTATTTAAAGATTCCCATCTGCATTTAGCTTAAAATTAGTTATGCATTTAAAACTTTTAAGAAATATCAAGAGTGAAAATTTATTTAAATATATAGAGATCAGAGAAGATACTAAATAAATAAAATACATATGATACAAAAATGAACAGAGTAATGAAAGAATATTTGAAAAGCAAATGTTCTTTGAACATTCATTTGAATGTTATCATTATAGAGAACTGTTGGCATGGAATATGTATTTGTTGATTATTTTTGTGTTGAAAAATCACGGAGACTTATAGTAAAATATACTGAATACATATTATTAATAACTATCAAGGTAAATAATACCAACCACAGTCATATATTTTTGTGGGGTTACTTATTTGATGCCTATTTACCCCAATATAGAAAAAATTCCATGGGCAAGGGTATTCACATTGTCATTACTTCCTACTTGGTACTTAGCATATCTCTTGTCATATAGAAGGTATGCAATGAATATTTGTTTTAAGAGTGGTAAGGCTACAGGTTCAACTGATTGACCTATAGTCGCTCAGAACCTATTAACCATATTGAACTATTGTACATAAATGATTTACAGATATTAGTGGATGATTACTGAAACAGAGGTATTAGATGGCAGGTAGTGCCTCTGTGCATGGACCAAAAGTATCCATCAGTGGACATAAAACATATAAACTTCTTCTGTGAAAAAGTAATTTAAGACTTTCAATTCCCAAGTTGGCATATAGAAAAAATGATTCAGAAATGTAAACTACAATATTTGAAAATGTAAATACATAATTTGAATACAACTTGACAACCACCTATGGATAAAGAGGTAATGAGGCCCTGGTGTTTAGTATGAGGATAGGAGAGTCTCAATGGATAAATGACTGGCCATTGGGATTGGCAGCTATAGAGAGGAAGGAGGAGATGTGGGATTCTAACCTGAATTTGAGATTTATAGTTATATTTTCTAGGCACAGAGGAGAAGACAAGATTTTGGGATAATTTATACAATCCACTTGGGAGATACTGACTTTGAGTTGTTTGTGGACATATGTTAGTTTTGCTTCTTACTTGCTAATACTTTTACTCAAACTATAGAGAAGGAAAAAAAAAAGTCACGAAAACGTGGTTTTGGAATAGTCTAAAAATCTATCTTCTGCAGGTAATACTTTATAAAAAAAAATTGGGGGGGAGCTAGCGAGGATTGAACTCAGGGGCAGTCAACCACTGAACCACATCCCCAGCCCTATTTTGTATTTTATTTAGAGACAGGGTCTCACTGAGTTGCTTAGGATCTCACTTTTGCTGAAGCTGGCTTTGAACTCATGATCCTTTTGCTTCAGCCTCCTGAGCTGCTGGAATTACAGGCATGTGCCACCTTGTCTGGTTTAGAATGTTTGTCTTTTAAAACAAAATTTTTTCCAAATATAATTTCACTGATAACCTCTCTTTAAAGTTGAGTTCTGTTCAAGTGAAGTTCAGTGGCAGAGCATGTACTTCCACAGATCCTTGATTTGAACCTCACCACCAATAAAATAAAACAAAGTCCAGCAGGGTTTCAGTTTTCAGATAAAATAGTTTAGTCTTGTTAGATAAGATAATGGTGTTTTATTTTTTGTTTTGTTTTTTAAATAGAAGGGTCAAATTAGTTTTGCTATACTGGGAAACCCAAATTTCATGGGGTAGTTGTTATGCAAAAGTTGATTACTCTGAACTCCAGGGATCCGGAGGTATTTAAGTAAAAATATTCCAGCATCCATCCAAGCAAGAGCCCATCCAGTCTTAGACCCACAAAAGGTGGGGGTGGGGGGCGCGGTGAGGAAGGACCTTTTATGGCTGACGTCTTTATAGCCAAGATAAAGCATTTTAGGTATATATTAACTCATTTAATCCTCATAATAACCCATTTTACAGAAGAGGAATTGGAGACACAAAGAAGAAATAATATGCCCCACATAAAGTTAGTGGTTTTTTTTTTTTAATATTTATTTTTTAGTTTTCGGCGGACTCAACATCTTTGGTTGTATGTGGTGCTGAGGATGGAACCCAGGCCAAACGCATGCCAGGCGAGTGCGCTACCGCTTGAGCCACATCCCTAGCCCTAAAGTTAGTTTTTGAACTGGAATTTTAACTAGAAAATCCTTGCTTCAAATATATGATCTTACCCTTTAAAAAATGTTTCTTTTTAAATGTGAAGGAAGTGGAAACTTTAAATCCATTTACCTTGAAATTATTGAAATAGAAATGTCTCATTAGAAATTTTCATCTGCCCTTCTTTGGGGAAACTTTCAATGTAATAAGATTTCATAGTTCAGTAAAAGTTAATTCACTACATGAGACAGTTTTGAGAGAAGCAGAAAGCTGACTGTGAACTATGCCTGCTACTTCTTAACTCAAACGCCTTATCATTAGCAAACAAGTAAATAAGGGTATTACTTTACAGGAGTGTTAGGATTAAATGAGAAGGCAAATGAAACATTTAAATAAAATAGTGCTGTGTATCAGTTGCAATTCGGCTTTCGATAGCCTTTTTTTGGCCAATTAATCAGAAAATTAAAATTTCAAAGTTTGCTTGTAACATTTGATACAAGATGGGTAAAAAGGGGCCCGGGCCAGGCTTACTCTCCAGCAGTTCCTAATTACTCTTTCTCCCACCACCCGCCCCTTTCTTACTTACTGTACTATGAAGCCATAGGAAATGATGAATCATTTTCTTTCTGAACAAATATTTAAGGGAAGAACAGATGTTGGCGAAGGCCCTGAGGAAGTCAGGCTTGCTTTTTTTTTGACAGAATTTATATTGTAGAAAACGTTAAAAACACTGAACGAATTTAAAACATTAGCCAGGCCTTGAAAGGTTCAAGTGTTCCTGATGGAGGGGGGGGCGATAAGAACGCAAAGACAAGGGACACAGACCACGCAGAGAATGGAATCCTACGCGTTAATATTGCTAGGGATAATCTGCGTCCAAAATTCTCACCAGAACTGAGGTCTGTTGCGTTCAGTAGTGGAAAGCAACCTCTCTTTTCCGGCAGGAGATTCCGGATTGGTCAAGCGATTACACCTACGTCTCCTTTCAGTTTAGGCACGCCCCTTGCACCGTGACCACGCCTCTTGATTCACCAAACAATTCGTAAGCACAGGAATTATCGCGAGAACTCCACATGGTCTCCCTTCTGACGTTTTCAGTGGTGATAGTCGCTTTTGTTCTCGCGATATTTCCGGATACACGGGAGCCCCGGCGGCCCGGGCTTCTGTGAAACATGGCGGTCGACTGGGACCGTAACACAAGGTAAAATACTGAAACCCCATTGCGTGGTGTTCCCTTGCTTGTTTCAGGGCCGCTTGGACTTGAATGCGGTTAAGGAGACTGAGAGCTTGGCGTTAGTTTAGGTGCCTGTCTTCTTCTCTTTCTGGAGAGCAGGCCAGATCGAAGAGCCTCTCCACCTCTCCCGGGGGCGTTACTGGCAGGACCCTGGGCAGCGCTGTGACTAGGAGCTCCGCTCTCTCTGTTCCTGGTGTCTCTGAGCTTTCTTGCAGTTAGAAGTAGTTGCGGTGCTTCCTTGATAGCTCCAACCCTGAATCCTTGCTTCTCACAGTGCCAGGTGACTTCTTGCGTCCCCAGGCAAATAGGGTCCCGCTTCCTCAAAACCAGCCTCATAGTGTCCCTAGTTTTGTAGGGTTTCTGGTTCCCTACTCTCAAATAAATACTACATTCTTGGTAGCACGGTACTCTTTTTAAGAAAGAAGGGTGTTTTAGCCACGCCTTCGCACGCAGCTTTGGAAAATGAGAAAGGGGCAGGACAAGGCAAGATGCTAGAGGAGACAGGTCCCAGAGCGTCTACTTCTCTCAATTCAATAAACCTGGGAAGGTAATTTGTCAACTCGTGTAGAGAAAAGCAGTGGTTTTCGTAGTATAGAGTTGATCATTGTTTGAGATGAAAAAACACGTTTAAATAACTTTTACTTTTAGGATTTAGTACCCTCAAAATTTAAGGTAAATTATGTTTGTTAAAATGTTGCAAGGCTGGCTTTCAGAAGCAATTAAAGATACAGTTAACAAAATTTTTCTTTTGTTTAAAATTATAGCCTAGTATTTCAATTAATTGCTTAACCTGTTATATTGAATTTTAGTGTAATTATAAAGACATGGGTCTAACATGTTCACTGAAGGACTAATTTGCCTAATTTGTTTATTGATATCTTTAAGTTAATGCAATTGCTCCAGTATTCTTAGAAGAATAACATGAGAAACAGAAATTCCATTTTTCTCCTTTTTTGTTTGATGCTAAACTTTAGAACATAACTGAGTATTGTCATAGCTTCATAGCACAAATTTTAAAAATATATCAAGTTTTCAAGATTTCTCGAAGGAAATCAATCTGGAACTAGGATAACAATGAATTAGTAAAAAACAAATTTTTCTAGGAGTTGATGACTGAAATGGAAGAAATGAAATTCACTTTTAAAAGACATCATTTTTACCTTAGTCTATGCCCACTGTAAATTTTATTTAACAATTTTCCAGTGTTTATTTTATTTCTGTCTTTTACAATCTTAGTGAGCCATTTTTTAACCTCTCTATGCCTTAGTTTCCTCCTAAGTAAAATGGGAATGATAGTCATACTTAATTTGTAAGGAGATTGTATGATTAAATGTGTTAAAACAAAGCACTTAGACAATGCCTGCTATAGGGTTAACGCTGGGAAAATGTTAACTCTTTGTTATTTTTTTATTTCCACTTTCTAACTTTTTTACTTGCAAATGTTACCTTGGTACTTAATCAAAATATAGACTGAGGAAGATACTTTTAAAAATTTCTTTCTGACTTCTCCAAATTGTCTAAACACTCTTCATTATATGTACATAATGTGACCTTAAACTTTTCCAGTTACTTTCTTAAACTGTTCTTCTCTCTTAATTTCTAAGGCACAGATTATTCCTTTCTACTTCTTCATGTAGTTTTATTGCAGTCTAGGTTCCTGCTGCTGTTCTTGGTCTTAAAAGCATGCTTTTGCTTTTAAGAACATTCATTTTATTGTGAATATACTTATTGCATTGTTGACCTTCTTTCCTCATTCTTAAGTTCCTTATACCTCCTTACTTTGATTTTGTATACTTTTTTAAAGTAGCTACTTTAGTCAAGCTGTTTTTTGTATTGATCTTCCTTTTATTGCCACTAGGTACTTCCATATTTCTGTTGCTGTGACTTTACAGTCACCTTTCCTCAGCTTTTATTCTATTAGTTTATATAGTTCTCTATGAGATTATCTACTTACTTTGTATATTGTCCTACTTTCCTCTGAGTTTAGCATCTAAATCTCAAATATCTTGTTTTTCCTTTTTGTCCAATTAGAAAACATTGACTAAATGCCTCATTTTATCCTAACTAAAAATTATGAGGTAACCTCTCTACCTTTTGAAATAATTGTGTGAGAGTGTGTGTGTGTGTGTGTGTGTGTGTGTGTGTGTGTGTTGCTGGGGATTGAACTTAGGGCCTTGTGCCTGCAAGGTAAGCACTCTACTATCTGAGCTATATCCCCAGCCCAGATGTAAAATTTTTGAGAGGATTCTGAAACATTGAGGCCTTTGCAAGTTTCTCACAGAACTAGTAAGTATGTAGATGACAATCTAGGTTTTTTTGGATTGAAACTTACATGTGTACCATCTTACTTGTCTTCCAAGTTAATCTTCTTATTACTGTGTACCATCTTACTTGTCTCCCAAGTACATCTTTTTATTACTAAGAAAGTTACTAGATTTATTTGAATTATTTTGAAGTAAATAACTTTAAAGCATAATATTTAACTGGCATATCCACTGTAAAGAGAGACTAAGCTATTTATTTTATAAAATTGTTCTTACTGTATTCTAATACAGTATAGTCTAGTAATAAAAATTTGTAGATAGATTGTACTTTTATTTCTGAAACTCAATGGTAGCCTGGATAATATATCTCCTTTCTCATTCCTATTAATGGCTCATATTAGTTTTGGGTAGTAGTCTTTACAAACTACCATAAACTGAGATGCTTAAAGAAATTTATTCTCACACAATTTTGGAGGCTGGAAGTCTAAAATCAAGGAGTGGGTAGGGCCATGTTCCCTCTGAAGATTTTTGGAGAGTCTTTAATTGCCTCTTCCTAGTTTTAGGGCACTCCTTATAGACACCTTACTCTAATTTCTGACTTTTTAATTTTAATTTTCTGTCTAATTTCTGTTTTTTTACATGGCATTCTCCCATGTGTATCTGTGTTTTTACATGTTCTTATAAAGGCATCAGTCTTTAGATTTTGAGTTACCCTAATCCAATATGATTCATTTTAACTAATTATATCTGCAAAGTCCCAATATCAAATTATGCACATTCACAGATAGCAGGGATTAGGATTTCAGCATCTTTTGGGGAGACACAGTTCAATTCACATGATTGATATATGTATTAACTAATTAAATATTTATCATTGTCAAATATATATTATAAATAGACATTGCCTTATGATACATGGATAGCAGACTGTCTCCCATTTTGTTTGGAGAGGTAATGAAACTTGAGCAAACTATAAAAAGTTTCATGAATGCTGTGTTTTAATTTCGGCAAAGCATCTGGTATTTTGATTCAAATGAATACAATGATAAATTATAGGCTATATGACATTGCTTAAATTGAGTGTTGATAAAGTCTATTCTCATGTGAAAGGAGGTTTCTTATTATTCAATTCTTCAAAGTATTATCTTTATCTCAATGTCAGTGACTTCCTAGAGTTTGTTTTTGTATTGCTTTTTAATATACAGGATAGTTTAGGCAAGACAGCAAAGAAAATAGATGAGGTACTGGAGAAAGTTAAGGTATAAATAGCAGCACCAACCATTGGACAAAGAAGTCTAGTGTAATTACTCCTAAATTATTGGATTTTGATGACCAATACAAAAAAGAAAAAAAGCAGGGAGAAAGGCCTAGATTTGAGGACTGAGAATACATTTTACATTGTGCTAAATGAGGATATCAAAAAACAAGAAGACTCCTCTCCCTCTATATAAACTTATGTATATATTTTTATGATTTTAGTATATATATATATATATATATATATATATATACATACATACACACACACACACACACCTCTGTTTACTTTTATCATTTCATAAAGGAAAAGGTATTTTGACACATAAAAAGGAAGACAATAATCCCAGATGCCAAGAACAGATTTTAAAATTAAAAAAGTTTACCTTTTGAAAAATTTGCAATACTGTCCTTATGTTTTTCACTTAGGTAGAAATAACAAATTTTCAAACAGGATGGCGGCGACTTCTAAGAAGCATTTCTAAGTATATTTTTGAAAATGACCAAACTGAATAAAAAGGCAAATAGAGTGGGTATGGGAGCAATGGGATTGGGTAACTGGGAGGGATTCAAGGGTTTGAGAACACCAGTGAAAATGAAGAGCTTGAAGGATTATTTTTCATTCAGAGAGAAAAATGATGTTTTGAATTTTAGAGGTGCAGCAATTGTAAGAGTTGAGAGGAGCCAAAACCTGATCTTGCTTATGAGTGACTTTGCAAAGATTAAATGCACTGGAATAGAAGAACAATTGAGTTTACATAGTAAAAAGATGTTATTGTGAATGAATGGCATAAGATCATGAGTTCAAAGGATATGATGGAATGGAGAAGAAGAGAAGCATATTGAATGACCAAGGTGCTAAAGTCATAAAGGAAACTATATAAACACTTGCAGATGTCAGTGGACCATGGTGGCATATAATGAAATAACATCATATACTGTGGTTTGGAGCATAGATTTTGGGCCAAGCTGCTTGGGATCAAATCCATGTTATTACTGTCAGCTCTATGGGCTTGGGAAATTATTCTACTGTTCTGTGCCTTAGTTCCTCATGTCTAAATGAGAATGAGAATAGTATTATAGAAGATTAAATAAATGTAAACTACTTTTAATAATATCTAGCATGAAACATAAAAGTCACACTTTGTTGTATGGTGTTAACTTATCTTTTCAGCAGAAGGTAGACCTGAAAAGGGGAAAGAAAAGTGGTTGAGAAGTATGATAAAACACATTACTTCTTTAACCTGTGAGTCTATGAAATGAAGTGAAGGATTAGAAAGGAATTACCACCAGGAGAAAGTCAGGTTTTATAAAGAGAGTGGGTAAAAGGATTGATTTTAGAAAAACTAGAAGTTATTGAATAACTTGTTCATGTCAGAACAGTGACTTTATAGAGTGTTAAATACTAGAGGTAGAATGAATTTCTTGGAAGTAGGTTAGTGAATG